CTCTCTCTCTCTCCCTTTCGCTTGCTGACACCTTTTTCGTCGTTCTCACTTTATTGTTCCAGCCCAAGTTTGCAGCCAATGGTTTGGCACCTCACTTAATAACCGGTACGTGTTCAGCAAATGGTGCTGCTGTTGCTTCTCCTTCGACCTTTTTGTTTCCTGTGCTTTTTTTTATTAACTTTGCCTCTTGCAAGAGTGATGGTGGCCAGATAAGAATGAGATTACCACAGTGTTCCCACTACATCTACTACTACTACTACCTAGCAGTAGATTTGACCCGGTTGGCACCAGCAACCTCAATGTCAGAACTAGCAAGGTTTGTGTATGCTGCCTTATGAATAATGAAAGCAGTTTGCCGATTGAGCAGATGATTGCTGGTTGAACAGAAAATTCCAAGACCCCCACGAACCAGAGTGGCGCTGTGCCAGAGCATGCAAACAGACAGTCAGGAGTACTACTGCTGCAAATGCTACAAATCGATATTAAAATTTTATTCAAATCGACCACACCGCCTGCTGGAAGTTCAAAATGCCTGTGAGTTAGTAAGCGCCTGTGTGTGTGTGCTTTCGTGCGCCAAATTATCAAGTCTGCTGCTTCAAATATAAAAAACGAATTGAGATTGCTTTGCAGTTCTGAGCATATGAGAAGATGGTAATCACACACTAACACCACACTGACAGCACCCAAAGGGACTGTTGTTTCTTTCACATATGATTTGAATCAAGGAGAACTCAATTTCAACTTTTGCTTGACCTTTGACAAGCGTTTTGATTGGAGGAAAAAAATCTGTTTTCTGTAACCAGAGCTCGTGAGGGCCGCAAATATTGCTCATATCTACGGCTGCTAACCACTGAATAATGTAAAGCAAATATTGCTTTTAATTAAATTTAATGCAAATCAAGATTGGAAAAACACTCTGCAGTAATAAGAAGTGGCACAGTTGCCCACGCCGACCAATCAGAGTCTGAAATCGTAAAGTAGTACGCTCGAAATAAAATCATGTGTCAACTTCTGACATTGAAACGCCATTTTCTTTTACTGCACAAACAGCCAAAGTAGACAGCAGACAGGAAGAGCGACATTACCTGCACCCACATATTGACGACCTCTTTCCAATGCTATCAATT